CCCCGCCTCCTCGGGGCTGGACCCCCTCACCGCCCCGCCCCCCGGCACAGCGCGGGGAGCCCGGCTGCGATAATAACCCTCGTGTCTGTGCGCCGATTTCTACCTTTGCACAAGAACAAGCGCTCGGAAGAGGTGGGTATGCGGGTTGCAGCCAGAGGAAAAGGCAATCGGGACTCGTAGGAGAGGCGAGAGATTTTAGTAGAGGTGTTTGCAAAACACATTTCTTTAATTGCAAGCTTTCGGGCACAAAACACCCTTCATCAGGCATCGGAGAAGAGCTGGTAGAAGTTCTCCTGGGGAGAAATGAAAGTTGACATCTCACAGAGGAGTCAATAGACGGAAAACTTCTCTGGGGAAGTGGCTTATAGCCGGTGTGAAGCCTCTCGCCTCCTGTGATGCAAATTACCTCGAGACAAAGGCAGGAGCAGGATCCCAGGTTTCAGGTGGTCACAGCTGGGGAAATATAAAGATTTCATTTTAAAAATCAGCTAAAATTCGATATCTTCCATATGTCAGGTATCCAGGCTGTCGCCATATTGGTTTAGAGGAAAAGGTAATGGGGACTTGTAGTAGATAGAGGTGATATCTTTTATTAGACCAACAAGATTTTTGCAAAAAAACAAGTTCTTTAATTGCAAGCTTTTGGGCACAAACACCCTTCATCAGGCACTGGAAAAAAGATTATAAAAGTTTGCCTGGGTAGAAATGAAGAGAGGCAGTCATTTCAAAGGCAGCTCATGGATACGGCACACTCAAAAACCCTGCACTCTTGACCGCCAAATACAGAAATGCTTCCACTTGGGTGGTTGGAGTTAATAAGGAGGAGATTGAGTTGCATAGTTTTCAGTGCACAGGAGCTTTTCAGCAACTAGAGTCAGTTTGAACTTCCAATACCGTAGTTTCATATTTAAGACCTGGCAGCACTGGAACACACACTCTGCAAGCCTGGGGCCTGAACCTGCTGGGGCTTGGAGGGGGGAAATCCAGTTACCCTCTCCTCAGCTCCTTTTGATTCCTGCTGTGCCCAGACTGAAACCAAGTGGCACAGGACTGCTGAGGACAGGGAACTGGTGTTATTTAGTGCGGAGAAGAGGAGACGGAGGGGGGATGTAATAGCAGCTTTCAACTGCCTGAAGTGGGGTTCCAAACAGGATGAAGCTAGAGCAGGAGTGGGCAAAATATGGCCTGCGGGCTCAATCTGGCCCGCCAGTCACTTTCATCTGGCCCACAGAACACCCCCCCACCCAATAAATTGCACCCTGCCCAGCCCTTCCAGGCATGAGGATGGAAATGAGGCATGCTACAACCCCACAACATACTCTATTGCACCTCACTCCCATCGTCTTGGGCAGAAGGGCTCTGCCCAGCCAGCAGCTTCCAGGCAGGGCTCCTTCTGCAGCCTGAAGCTGCTCACATGGGGGAAGCAGTGGGGCTGGTGGGGAGGGGGGTAGAGTTGCAGCTGGGTGGAAGCAAGAGAGCAGCACAGAGCCTGCGCCAAGAGGAGCAGCAGGAGCATGGAGCTTAGCTGAGCAGGATGCAAGTGTGAGGGTGGGGAGGGTGTAGAGACCCCTCTACACATAAACACACTCCCCCCCCACCCATGGTGTGCAGCCCCAGCTACTGGCAACAGCAGCAGGTGGGGAGGTCAGGGCACTTGTGTCCAGTGCAGGCACAGCTCCTGCCAGTACTGTGCAGGGGGAGGGAGCAGAGCCTACCTTATTGCCAGGGCTCTATGACACACACCTGCAGCTCCAGCATCGCAGTAGGGGAAGCTGTGCTGGAGCCTGTTGCTTCCCCAGTTCCCTGCTGCACAGGTCTCCGCACTCTGCTGGAAGTGGAGGGAGCCCTGCCCCCTGCTTCCCCGCTGTGAGTGTGGAGTTGTGAGCATGGAGCCCTTGTGATAGAAACAGCCAGTGCCACACACACACACACACACACACACACAGAGTTTATTTTTGAGTTATTATGCAATCCCTTCTATATATAGTAAACAATCACAAGT